GGGGACGTATCTCCTGTGTTGATAATCACAAAGGTAGGTTACATTATCAACACATCATTGTCAGCCTAGCCCAATAATAAATGCACCAATATGTCCATTTATTATTGGGCCACTTGTCGAGATGCTAAGCACTTTGTATGAAAAGTACTAGGTAAGCGTGTGTATTACGCTATTTAGGTATGTATTGCTATTTGTTATCATGTTCTTGTTGTTTTTCTTATTGTAAGATTTAACATATTTTCATATTCATTTATAGGTATATTTACGAGGATACTTAGTACCCAGGACTACTTAACTAATACTTTTGCTAATACTTCACTTAAACTTTTGATAAGTACTTTTGCTTAGTACTCACTAAGTAAGATATTCTTTACATATTTTTTGAAAGTGTTTTTTGATTGAGGTACTTCTTCTAATAGAAGATCTTTAGCTATTAAGTCATTCCAGAGTTTGGGTCCGATGCAAGGAAATGAGTAGAGCAGAGCCTGTAATTTTTTGTTGAAAAAACAGGTTGAAAATGATGGATATTTCTTGTCTGATGGATAGGGTCAGTTGAAAGATGAAGTAATCGTCTTACAGAGACTGGTAATTCCTGCATTATGTACTTATGCATGATAAGCATTATTTGAAGTTTGGCTACGTCTTTAATTTTAAGAATACTATATTTTTTAAATATTGGGGTAGCACTTTGTGGTGGGAAAATACCTTCAATTAGTCTCATGAACCTTTTTTGCAGAATTACCAGCCTTTGAAGGTGGTTTTCATAGTTGGAACCCCAAATGAAACAGCAGTAGTTGATGTAAGGAAAAATCAAAGAATAATATAATTGAATGAGCTGCTGTTTTGGGATAAAGCGTCTAGCTCTTGCAATCATTCCAATGTTTCTGCTGATAATTTTACATATGCTACTGATATGAGATGTGAATTTGAGGTCAGAGTCAATAAGGATTCCTAAATATTTCACAGTTTTCATTTCAACTACTGCTGTGTTTCTAATGTAAATGTTTAACTTTTCAGCAGTTCTCCGTTTTGAATATACTTGGAGAAATGTTTTTGATGGGTTCACTGTGAGGTAATTTGCTTCTAGCCATTCAGATATTTTTGACAGGGCTGCATTTGTTAATTCTTGAAGTGTTTCTCTGTTTTTATGTTTGAAAAATATTGCAGTATCATCTGCATACAACATAATTTGCCCTTCAATTGGAAGATTTGCAATGTCATTTAAGTATAGAATGAAGAGGAGTGGTCCAAGAATTGACCCCTGCGGCACTCCTATTTTTATTTCTCGTTCAGTTGACTTGACCCCTTCTATCTGTACCACTTGAAATCTGTTTGTTAAGTATGATTTGATTGTTTTTAGAATATTTCCTCGAAAACCCATTTTGTTTAACTTTTCTAGTAGTATTTGGTGTTCTACAGTGTCAAATGCTTTTGAAAGGTCAAGAAAGATACCTGCTATAATGTTATTAGTTTCCAGTGCTTCAGTTATGTAGTCTTGAATAAGCATGACTGGCATGTAGGTAGAGCCCAAATGTTCATTACCCGAACTGTAAATTTGCCGAAATGCGATTTGCCGAAATGTCGATTAGTCGAAATGTCAATTAGTCGAAATGTAAATTTGCCGAAATGTCAATTTGCCGAAATGTCAATTTGCCGAAATGCAAATTTGCCGAAATGTCAATCTGCCGAATTGGCAGTTTGCCGAAATGTCGATTAGTCGAAATGTAAATTTGCCGAAATGTCAATCTGCAAACCTAGGTTAGGTTAGGTTAGGTTAGGTAAGGTTAGATTAATTATGGCTAATGGCATTTCCGCAAATTTACATTTCGACTAATTGACTTTTCGGCAAATTGACATTTCGACTAACTGTTATTTCGGCAAATTTACATTTCGACTACTTAGCATTTCGACAAAGTTGCATTTCAGTAAATTGATATTTCGACTAATTGACTTTTCGGCAAATTGACATTTCGATTAATTGACATTTCGGCAAATTAGCACTTCGGCAAATTGACATTTTCGACTTTTTGCACGTCGGCAGAAAGGCATGTCGGCAAATTGCATTTCGACTTTTAGAACTTCGCCTTTTTGACACGTCGGCAAAAAGACATCGGTAAAATGCATTCGACATATTGACATTCAGCGAATAAGCATTCAGCAAAACGCAGTTCGGCAAATTTTCCTGTAACCGATAACAGCACGGTACTTTTAATTTTGATGGTTGCAAGCTTGAAAAACATGTCAACATTTAATTTTGCGTATTTAACACCGGGTGCACCTAGCGTATGAATACCTAATACCTTCCTCAGAGCTTCATCCTACATATATTAACACCGTCAATCAGGTTAGCTGCCGTTCAATCACTATAACTAAATGTCATGAGCACAGCATGGCGTTTACCTATAGAACGACCTGAGCAGGTATAGGTAATTTGAATATAATCTCATTGCACCGTGAGTTAAGTTCATGGACGAGGGAAAGTCTCCCATTTAGCGGAAGTTTTACTTTGGCTCTGTAGGAAAACATGCGGGCCCAATATCTGGAGAACAAATCTATCGGGCCTGGTGGTGCTAGGGAAAACATCACGTTTTGTTCCGTTCTTAGAAAGACAAGAGCCTGTCGAATTTGCATTCGCGCCTAATTAGCAGCGATTTATCGTCTTATGCATGCACTAGGGCCCATTCAAGCTTCATATGCAGCCGTTTTGTCACGCCGAGACCGTCTTATAGAGCTTCTATTATCACAGCTCTCGACAATGAGCACCGGTGCACGGGCCAGCATCACTCGAACATAGTTGTGCACAGGGGAAGGTCGCACCTCTGCCTGGCTCGTCCGACCCCGTCCGGCGCTCCTGCTATCTGCCCGCCTCCCACGACTCGAGTCAGAGCCCACACCTGCTCCGAGACGGGCGGGCACGGCGGGCGGGGCGGCCGGCGGACCCGCCCGTCACGAACGCGGATGTGGGGCGGGGCGGGGGCGGGGGCGGGCCAGCAAGGTCAGACCGGCGTCGGCCGGCGGCCGGCCGGTGTGGCACTCTGGGCCGGATCTGTCGGCCGCCCCAGGCGCCAGTTAACCGGCCGACTCCCGCGGCGGTGAGACGTTATCGCTCTGTTACATCGCCCAGCCGCAGACGGTCCTAACTCGGCCTCAGGCGTCTGCGTCAAATCGGGCACTTATTGAGCCCGGAGCCTCCCCCCACAAACTCGCCGAGAAATTGGCGATAAACTACCATAATGCTGCACCCTCTCACGCTCATTTTGCGTGGAGTGTAGGTGCTAAATAGCACTCTTCAGATCAAGTCAACCCGGATTTTGTGGTCATTTGCAAACGAAGAACTACCGCACACAAATTGTTCACAAGGTGCACCGGCGGGCAATTTAACACGAATACCATAATACCAACTTGTTTGCAGCTTGCAGACTCTTCGGTGATGGTGTGCTAACACTCTTTAATCAATTTCTTAAGTGATTGGTGATATGGTTTTACAACCTCCTAAATGTTGTTGCATATCAGGAGCAGTATAGGAACTAACACAATGCAGTGTTTTAGCTTGCCTTAGTGTGAAAAGGCAATATCTTATAGAGCCGATTGTCTGCATATCTGATCAAAATTACAAATGCAAAGGGTCTGGTAATCGCTCCTGTTTAATACCTCGCCACGTATCAGTCATGCCCTCCATAAACCCAGAGAGAACTGCTGGCCGATTATGTGACCTTGTCCTTCAGCCTTGCTCTGAATAGTTATCCATACGTCCCCGAGCTACTGGCGGCAATCGGTGACTCAGGTTATCGGGAATTGATCTTTGTAGATGACCTCCGATATGATATCGCTCCAGAGTATTCCACGCCTGCCCTGCAGTCGTAGCACTGGCTACCGGGTTCCCCATGGTCCCCGGATGATTGGGCCGAGGATGGCTTCGAAGGGGCTAGGGCCTGGGGAAATATGATGAAAGACGAGCATAGGCTTACATTTGTTGATGAAACATGTATGCACTTGCAGAGTTAGAGGCAGAGCGTGAATAACTATAAGACTCGGTCGTAGAGACTCGGACGTGCAGTTGGAAGTGCGAATGCGTGAGGGGTTGCGACGTAACCCCTCACTTACTGCAGGACTGCAGTTACTGCAGGACGTATGTAAACGTAAAGGCGCAGGCCTTCATATCTTGAGTTTTGGATTGCAGGCTGGCTCGCATAGGTTTCTAGATATGCAGATGTTTGCTTGCATTGCATTGGTGCTGTTTGTGCATGAATTATGACTTTGAATGGTAATGATGATTCTTTCCACTAATGCTTGCATTTTGTATTTTTCCAAAAAACTTATTATTTCATCAGCTGGTGTAATCATTGGTGCATTTCAATCAAATAATAATGCAGGACCTTCACAAAAAATGCATTACATTGCCAAGTCAAAGTGATCGGTGCATTCATGTCAACGTGATGTGCAATGTTCAATTGTTCATTGTTCATTTTTCCTGCGTGTCAACCCGGAAGATGACGTCACCGATCAGCTCCGTTAGACAGGTCGAGGGCCAGCGCTGACTCATGGACTGGTATGGAGAACCGGAGTGTGACGGGGAGGGAGCTAAGATTTAGGAAAAGGGTGGATAGACGGGTCAGCAACAATGAACTTGGAGACGACTGGACAAAGGTGAACCGTGCAGAGAAGTGCGAGAGAAGTCGGGATTCTTGTTAGGGTAATGAAGAGAAGGAGATCTCGGGGCTTCACCTCACAAGGTCTTGTCGACTCGATCAGGTCATCGTCCTGAATAAAACATCACCCCTGGACGTGTTCTTACACTGTGTCATCTGCTTCCCTGTAACCTCTGACGTCAGACTGGGTAGCCAGGTGAGCGGAAGTTCCTCCGCGGCGTGCTCAGTGATAGGTTATGGCCGCCGCGGCGCGGGCATCCCGCGGTGGGGTGACCGCGATCGGCCGGAGCCACACCGGGCTGGCCCACCGGCAGCCCGTCGCGGTGGCCACGGGTCCCGAGTGGGGAGAGACGGGTATCCCCCGTCCAGGTGGTCGCGTGCCGGGGGACAGGGCGCGGCAGAACCCCGCACGACAGGCGTCCGCAGGACAGGGCGAGCCGGCACTGGGCGCATTGCACGCTACACACTGCACGATCTGTGGCCGAGCGGCGTGAGGACGGGCTTCATGGGCTATTGCCTGCAGTGGCGTGCAGACTTGGAAGAAATAAATCAAAAGTTTTGTATCGAGAGTACATGAACCTCCAGGCTCCACGAATCAAACTATTAAAACAGTTACATTTAAGGCGTAAATGTAACTGTTTTAATAGTTTGATTCGTGGAGCCTGGAGGTTCATGTACTCTCGATACAATACTTGTCCATTTATAACTACAAATCAAAAGTTGTTCACATTTCAGGTTATTGTCAAGTTAGAGATGGTGGTAACAACAGGTGACTGCTATGTTTGACTTGCCATTTTAGTATGCTCTGGACAAGGCGTATACGAATAGATGGTGGGCATGCCATGCAATTTCATTTCATGTCATTTTGCAGATAAAACTGTAACAACCTTTGGTATGAGGCACCCAATATGACACTAAATTTTCCAACGGTTCAGGCAGCTCATTTCAGTATTAACCTAATTTAGATGTTGGCGCTCATTGACTTATGCGATGTTACAAAAAAAAAACAATTGTTCTGTTCTCACCACTCCACTTGATTAAAGTAATTAACCTTTAAGATTCCTCGTAAGCGCGTTGGTCAACAAAACAAAAACGTTGATTGAAACAGAGATAACTCTAACGTCTATCTGAAGTGTCGGCCGTCTTCCCACCGACTCCATTCATCCCGGCAACAAAAGCCATTCATGCCGCCCTTTCACCGACGCCCTTTCTGCATCCCTCCGTCAGAGGTCACCGTGGTGATGCCACGGCTCAGCGCAGCACAATGTGACGAAAACACTCAACAGTCGTCCGTCGCAAGACTGCCCCTCCCAGCTGCGTGCCATCAGATTGCTCACCGTCCCACGGCTATCCAGCTGACACACCAGGACAATTAGGGCCCGCCATACATCTTTGCGATGTGCCATCTGAGTCCTCGCCCAGGGCTGACTTCTCTGTTTATCATAACGTCAAGATACGCCTCCATTAGAAAGCCAGACTCCTGGGCTGGTGCGGTGAGCTTGTGAAACAAATAATTTGTTTACGATGTGCGTGAGCCGTGTCGGCCGGCTCTGGCGCGGTCACTGTACGCCCTCCGTCAGAAACTGACATGTAACTATGTACCACGCCGCCGGCGACGGGGCGCCGACGATGCGGCTGGCGGCGCTTTATGAGCCTCGGAAGGACAAGGACTGCGTCCCGCAGTGCAGTGCGCCGCAGAACGACCCGCCTTGAACCTGCGCTTTGTGGACAGCTGTCGGCCCTGCGGCAAGGTAGCGGCGACGGACGATTCCGTGGATCGCCGCGATCCGGGAAATTCCGATTCCCGGATAGCTTCAATGGGGCGGCGGAACGCCATGGTAGGTTTCAGGCGGAGACACTTGGACAATAGACACGGTTATTATAGGATGAAGGATGGTGTGGGAGAGATGTGGTTGAAAATGGTGTGAGTTGTGACTTTGGATTCCTAACAGGTCCACAAATCCCCACCTTCATAAGTTTTAGGTCGATGTTACATCACCGATGCATGTCAAAGTCTCACATGCAGGGATCATCTCGGTCAGGACGGTCTCGTGTCGCTTACAGCTCTGGATCAACTCATCAGGCCGGTGTCAGGTGTCAGCTAAGTGTCCAATCTGTGTCAGACGGTGTCAGTAGCGGGTCTGACGTAACGGTGACACGGCTCAGGAAGGCAATACGGTGAAAGCCGGCCACGCTCCATCGGTCTGCCTTAAGGTGCCCTGACACTTGCACGACTTTTGGTCACGATTTTGTCGTGGCAAGCCGTGCCATTTTCGTGCACGAACTGGGATGGCTCCCGCACTGTTCACGACTAGTGCACGACCAGTTCACGACGATTTCACGAATAATTCACGAATGCGTGCCCATCAGTGTCCACATTGGCACGGACTGGTACGACGAGTTCACGCATACTTTCCGCATAGTTTGCGCATAGTTTACGCACTTCACGCATTGGCACGACAAGTTTGCGCAATTTGTGCCGACTTGGGCATGCCATATAAAAGTGGGACCTCCCATTCACTAATGTAAGGCTGTAAGCTCCGTGTCCTGGCAAGACCCATCGTGACCTCCAGTGACACAAATGTCCTGACCTTGCCTAATGTGACCAGTTTGACCTGGACTGACTTATCGTGACCTTGGCTGACCTCTGCGACCTGGCGTGACCCATCGTGACCTCATGGTGACCTCTGTGACCTAACCTGACACCGTGTGACCTAATTTGACCTCTGTGACCTAACATGAGCCCGTGTGACCTAGTTTGACCTCTTTGACCTGAAATGACCCGTTAAATACATTTTCGGTCATTACTTCCCATCTAGGCGTCCAATCGACTCGGGAAAAACACCAAACAATCCCAAATTTCGCGCTGCGAAGCAAGCCGAGATCCACAGATTGGCACGGGCTGGTAGGACGAGTTCACGAATACTTTTCGCATAGTTTGCGCATAGTTTACGCACTTCCCGCAACGTCCCGACGAGTTCACGACGAGTTCACGAACAGTTTGCGCATAGTTCACGATCCGGTTGCGAAATTTTGTCGTGACCAAAACTTTGAACATTTCAAAGTTTTTGACCCGACATGGCACGAAGTCACGACGAGTTAACGCACACTTCACGTCAGTTCACGACTAGTTTGCGCACGGGCACGATTCGATTCGTGCCAATGCGTGCCTCAAAATCGTGCAAGTGTCAGGGCCCCTTAAGACACGTGAAAACGGCCCAGCTCAGAGATAAAGTGCGCACAGCAGACGCTAATGACGCACTTAAACGAATCGGGGGACATGAGCGCTCATCGCGCACCAAAGTGGCTCGGAAACGGCCGGTGAGATCAGCTTTTCAGATTCAGGCTCAGCAGCTAATGTCCAGATTACATACACGCTCCAGAGAGGCACATGTATCATGACGCCAGAAATGTCACAGGGAAACAGACGCGGCTGCTCCAACATGAATTTAAAACTAGTCGATCTCACAACAAATATATTGCTGACACATGTCGGCCAAGGAACAATAAGGTAACCATGATGAAATTTGATTTGCCCTTTATTAGCAGAGTGAAAATCACTTCGTTTTCTTAGTTCTTACTTTTCAATTCACACTACTCCTATTTTTCCTTCTTCATATAAACCGAGCCCCAAAGGAGGCACCAAGTGATGTGCCCTGCGCTAACTATTTCAACACAGTAACAGACTGTCGCTGACTTGTGCTAGCATTATGTTGAACATCAATGTACGTGTAACAAAGTGCCTAAATACCTATTTTCTTTGGGATTTCCTTTGAAATGAGCAATCGACGTTCAATTCAGCAAAAAAATATGATAAATCGGGCTACAGGGCTATCGTATCGACGGCTGTTGAAGAAAAGTTTGAACATCAGAACAGTTTGAATGGTTCCCGAAAAGAATAAGTTGCGTTCCTTACAAGTTGATTCACCCACCACGAAGACTACCAGTGTTACAATTTGCGATTGTGTATCAGAAGAAGACCAGGCCAATGTCCTTGAAGAGAGGCGCTCGTCACCATTTCTAATCATTTCCTGGCTGCCATCATGGGCGGCCTAGATCCGAGGTAATGATATGCCATTCGCCAAGGTCTTCTTTTCCGCTCGGTTTTCATGAGTGTCGTTTTTGTATATACCTTCCCTAAGTATGGGGAGGGACCATTATTTCGGCATTTTAGCATTAATGTTGTAGCGGTCAGCGGACAGCGGTGCATGGTAAGGATGACTTTGATATTTATAAACTTAACCCGGCAGTTGCTGGGGTATTTCGCCACCCACCGTTTGCTGGGGGGGGCGTTGAATTTTGAGGTCACAGGTCGGGTCAAGGTCAGGTCAAACACCTGAAATCGGGCTTTCAGTAGCATGGACTTCAGGGCTTCGCAATGGGCGCCTCTCGTCATAAACGTTGTCAAAACGGTGCACAATCCATCATATAAGGCCTACAAGAGTGTCAGCTCCATGTAGGGGTCAGTCAAGCATAGGTCAGGGTCAAGGTCAGGTCAACCGGGTAGGCACATATCCCCGAAAATCAAAACTGATATTCGCAGCCTGCGACACATGTTTTATGGGTAATTTGGGGCGTAGAACCCGATGGTGACATTCATTTTATCGTATGTGTACGTGTTTGACTCAAAAAGTTCAATTTAAGAAATGTATGTATCATGGTCGTGAAGTAGTCGCGAGAAATTGCCAAGATTCAGTTCAAGATTTTGGAAAATGCAGAACGATAATCAATAATCGAAGATAGCCATTTGATTGTCCATGGTATTGGCAGTCTAATGGCGTTTACGGCATATCTGTATGTCTATTCTGTGATTTTATATGATTTTTTGAACATATGCCGTTTTTGGTCGAAAACTCAGAAATCATGACGTCACTAAAACCTCGATATCTCAAAAATTTTCCGACCGATTTTTTTTGAAACTTTGTCACAATAAAGTTCAATCAATTCCCTACAGGTACCCAAATTTTGGCGCGCCTGCGGCGCGCCGTTTTTATGCTATGGCCCGGCGAAAAAAGTGGGGGCGTTTAACGCCCCCCCCCCCCCCAGCAACTCGCGGGTTAAAGTGACCATCCCACCTTAACATTAGTTTTGAGTTCAGAGATAGCCAAATTGGTGGCCATGGGCTGCAAATACCGGTTTGGGCACTCACAACATCGAAAAATGCTTTAATTCGGAGAAACTTGCAGTTTTCGGATTCTAAGGGGCTAATGCATTGGAATGCCCCCTTAGAATTTGTGACGTCAGTGGAGATCTAACAATTTTAAATCTTTGACTAAAACGTTTGGTAGCACGCGGTGGTATATCGCTGCTTTCCGCGCAACAAGTGCCGCACTTTCAAATAAAGTCGCTAGGAACAACGGAGAGCCCAAAAAATAAACAAAAGTTAAAGTCTAATATCTTGAAAACCGGTGAATATTCTTCGATGAAATTTGGTAGATATTCGTTTTTGCTCTTTCTGAACCGAGCGAAATCACTTTCATGCCAATTCATTAACTTTTTTGAAGGTGGGAACTGGGATGGTCCCTTTAACCCTACTGATACCATCCTTATCAATAATATTCAGAGAGTGACGCCCGTGCCGGTTTCCATGCTGTAAGTCAAACGATCAAAACGACAAACGATTAAGTCAAACGATTGTAAATCGACACAAACTTTTATGGCCCAAAATTATCATGCTTCAATGTCAACATTAAAAATATGCCTTTTGTGAGATGCTTATTGTTATATTTACGAAACATTTGCAAATTGCATGATTCGCGGCATAGGGTCCACATTTCAAATTCATCTATAGACATCTGTTAATTGTTTCTCCACGTGTTGCAAGCTGATATTGATGTGGCATCACTCAGCAACAGACTGTCACTGGCGCAACATTGCGTGCAATACCGATGATACCCACGTGTGACATGCTCCTGCGTATTTCACCGCTAGGTTCCTCCCTCCATTCTCCTTCCTTCCTGCTTCCTTTACATCGGCCTCGTGTCTGTGACCCCGCTCCCAGCCACCAGCGTGAGAGAACCGCTCCACTCGGGATGATACACCACCTTACGGTGCGGAACTGCGACAGCGCATAGGGAAGTTGCGTCAGAACCTCGGCAGTCGCAGTCCCTCCTCCTCCGGCGCACAGCCGATCCAGGTCAAGGCCGTTGCTGACCGCCCTCCGCAGCGACCTTGACAGTCAAAACCTGTGCGCACCGATTACAGAATCTACGCCGTCATCGGCCAGGACCGATGGCGAAAGCCGTGAGCTGTCGGCGGCACTGTGTGTGCAGTGTGCAGTATGCTCAGGGGAGGGCACACCGGAAGAACGACAAGTGATCTGGGTTAGGCTTCCGCGCAGAGCCCCTGTCGTCACCCTGCCTTGCAAGAGTATGGGTTCATCTACAGTCGACTGAACTCCGTAGCTTTCACAGAGCGATCTGCTACTTTGGGGTGGGGTAACTGTCACTACATCGTGCCAAATGTTATGCATCATGTGCTCACGACTGTGCAGCTGCCAGGTGATTGTCTCCGTTAGGCTCTT